AACCACATTGAAAACATTATAAACTGTCAAGCAGGAAATGGAGACTGTAAGCTTCACAGTTGTTTTTACACAGTGAACAACTCAGATCTCAGAGACTTTAACGTGACGTTATTGAAACTTTCCAGGCTGCGCATTTAAGCTTCCATGAAAGTCTGCTGGTGTCCTGCTCAGTAGAAGTATTGCTACAGTATAGATATTTCTGAAAAATCTGTCTGTTGTACTTTCCAAGAGTTGCCCAAATATATAAATATTTATATTTAAAAGAAGCTTTTGTTTTCATGTAATTTCCCTGTTCTCTGTAGTGAAATTCCAGTACCTTAATGGTTATCATGGAAATGAATAGCACCATGTCTCAGTGATGGCTTCTTCACTGCAGGATAAAGTAAAAGTGGTGAGCTGGGAGAGAGAAAACTGATTATCTAGAAGTTTCTTTGATAGCAAATGCAACAGAAAATATCATAAGTAGTAAAAGATAAATGACTTCACATTCACTGATTACAGTGCAATCTAGGATTCCCCAGAATGAAGATGCAGCTCACATAGATTTTATTTCTTTCCAAATACTTCTTAATTTGTCCATGTGCATAAAGAATACCGCTTTACCACTGCTTTACCAGCCTTCTCGTTATTCTTTCTCATCATGAAGTCTTTTATATTGTCTAAGCTGAATCTTCCTAACTTTAAAATGTAAATGTGTTACTTTTTCCATCCATCAGGGAAAAAGATTATTCCATTCTTTCCGGTAGTTATTTGTGTATTTGGATACTATTTACATATCATTTTCCCCTCCTCAATCTTCCTTATACAAAAAAATCCCAATAAATTAATTTTGTCCTTGTAGGTCAGGGTCTCCATACATATCACTGCTGCCATTGCTTTCTGCTGGATTTAAAAAGTCCACACCCTTCTCAAAGATTACTGTCCAAAACCATATGCAATATTTCACCTTGTGTCCTTCTTATGTTGTGTACAAGAGTTACTTCACATAATCATACTATACACTTCTGTACACACATATATTACATGCTGAAATACTTTGTGTGGTCAGGCTTCTAAATATGGTTACATATGAAGCTGTATCTCTAAATATAAGATTACTACTGAGTGAAAAAATTACTTCTGTGTGAGGGTCCTGAAATAATAATAACTATATTTACATTCACAGAAAGCAGAGGTATCTTTAGTTCACCAGTGAATTATTAATGAGTTTTATAACTTTATATTTAAAACAATTGATTCTGAAAATGAGCAAAACATCGACAAAATAAAAGTATCCTTACTTTTACTCATACTTGTTCTGACATTCTGGAAAGTAGGCAGTTCAAAACTGAAATTAAAATTCAGGTCCATTTTTTTCCTGATTGGTATGCAGCTTTGTAAAGTACTTCATAAAATTCTTAAAATTTAATTTATTTTTATTATATACCTCTGTCAAATTTTTACAAAATACCAAAATATCCCTTAAACTATTTTTTACAAAAATACCAAAATATCCCTTAAACTGTTTGAAAAGAAATTGATCAAGAATTCCCTACAAACCTAGAAAAAAGAAAAAAAATCATCCCCACAAATTCAGTCTACTATAATACAATTCTCTGTTACATTGTCCCGTACCTTTGTTCAACTTTTCTGTGTATTTCTGTGACACCTGAAAAAATGCATTTACTAAAAGCCTGAGTTCCAAAATTTGATGAAGCAGATCTAATTGCCATGAACAATTAATGCAATTTTGTCACCCAGATAAAAATTGGAACTAGAGTTTAATCTCAAATATTTCTTAAGGTGCTATAACAAATAAACTTAAAAATAACAGATCTACATGGAAAGAACGCTGATATGTAAAGTTCCCTAGAACACCACATTAATGAAGAGTATGATGTTCAAATCATTGCTCTATGCAAACCCCCTTGGTCTAAAAAAGGAAGTTCTTTCAGGTATGCCTTCTTTTCTCCCTGCTTTCTTTCCATGTAAAGTTTTGGGTTTGTAAGTTTAAGTGTGGTTATTCTATTTGCAAAGAAGTAATAAGGTAAATTTCAGTATTACACTTTTAGAACAGATGGCAAAAGAAAAGTTAAAAGTTTTTGTTCCCTTCTTCCCCTCCTTTGTGCATTTGTACTAGGGATTTAAACTGACCTTTCTGATTTTCAGCCAGGAATGTTTAATTTGAGCCAGTAAAGGAGTTTATTTCTCTCATCTAGATTTTTGGCCTTAGTTTATTACATTTTCAGTATTCTCTATTTAGTCAAAAAAAGTCCAATTTTCATGTGGAAGGCAATTAACAGTAACAATGTCTGACATTTAATAAGGACCACACAATATGTGACCTTGGAATGACAAATAGAGAAATAGTCTGTTCTCACTTCTTTCAACATTTTTCTATATTTGAAGCTTAGATAATTAGTAAGAATAGTGTGTCAATAAAGTATCCACATAATTACGGAGCAGTTCTTCCAACCAAGCCACCTAATTATCATAACATTTATAAGATATCAGACTTGACCTATTTCCTTTAATGTGAGAATGGAACAGTTAGTCAGCTTTCCCACAATGTTCTATTTCTTCCTCTTTCCATTGATAAAATAGAAATATATATCACTCCATCTTTCATTTTCTTTCCATACTCAGAAATATTTTGATTTACTATAATGTATCTTACTTTCAGTTAGCTCATATTAAGTGCAATACCTTTTCCTCTCTTAAAATAGAAACAAACAAACAAACAAACAAACAAACTGAAAAGCAAGAAAGTGTAGTAATATCATGCCATCATGTTATTATTTATTCTGAGATGAGTGACTGATGACAATGAATTGCCTCAATATATTTGTCCGTTTGTTTTCTAACCTATGATGGCAACTTATTCACAATATTTTTCATACACAAGATATGATTCTGTCAAACTGTGAATGATGGGAGAAAAAAATTTCTAGCACAACTACCAAGATACTTTTGTAATTTATTGACCTAATTTTAGAAAAACACCATAGCTATGCTGTTAAATGGAAAAAAAGAAAAAAAAGTTACATATATCAAATGGTTGCACCTCATTATCATGGAAGTCTTCCTTGTTCATGAGTATGAAGTTAGGCAAAGTATCTGAAAGGTGGTATTTCACACTAAATTGGCTCACACACTTGGTTTCTCTCACTTTTCCTGTGTTATAGCTTCACAAATGTTCTTATCTGACACCAGAGTCTGTTCAAGTGTGTTCACACAATAAGAAATGCTTTGTGCCAGAAGTTCTGCAATGTGAGAAAGAAAAGACAAAAGATGAGATAAATAAAATATTATTTTCTTATTTTCCAGTGTTTTGTAAGGAATTCATGGCATAAAGGAAAGTTTCAGGGAAGAATTTTCAATGAAATAATTTTTCAAGATACCTAATACCAATTATTCCTTCTCCACAGAGATTTAAAAGGATAATTAAAATGGAAAGCAAATGAAAGAATCATCAGACCCCCTTTTAAGCTTCCTGCAGGAGATTTTTATATTCATATGTATATGCTCTATAGAAAGGAACATTGTGATGGTGAAGGTATACCTTTTCTTGAGCAGTAAAATAAGAGTAGAAAAGCAAGAACAAAATTACAGAACTAATATGAACTGCACAGACTTTCAATAGGTGGATGGAAAAATGGTAGACAAGATTTTGACATTAATTCCATACTTATTAATCCAACAATTTATAGAAGGTCAATAATCTTCTGGTTTATATCAGAGATAGTGTGGCCACCAGGACTAGGGAAATGTCCTGGTTTGGGCTGGAATAAAGTTAATGTTTCTTTTTGGTAACTAGAATAGTGCTGCATTTTGGATTCAGCATTGGATTTGATATGAGAAGAATGATGATTGATGTTTTTGGCTGCTGCTGAGATTTCAAGGACTCTCCGACTCCCCATGTCTGAGCCGTGCACAAGGGCACAGGAAGCAGGGAGGGAGCATGGCCAGAGCACCAGACCCAAATTGTCCAATGAAATATTCCATATCATGTAACGTCATTCTCACTATATAGAGGAGAGGTGGCCAGGAAGGGGCTCTCTCTCTTGCTTCTGGGATTGTAGTTGTATGATCTTAGAATTTCAGGATTGCTAGCTGGGAATGGGCTGAGTATTGGTCAGCAAGTGGTGAGCAATTGAATTGTGCATTGCCCATTTATATTTTCTATTACTGCAATTGTTTTCATTTTATTACCATTATTAAACTGTTTCTATCTCAACCTGTGAGTCTCCCTGTACCCCTTCAATTCCCTCCCTCATTCCCAGGCTGGGGGGAGGGTGGGTGAGCATCTGTGTGGTGTTTGGCTGCCAACCAGGCTCAAGCCACAACAGGAAGGGATCATCCCCCTGTACTCAGCACTGGTGAGGCTGCACTTTCAATACTGTGTTCAGTTTTGGGCCCCTCACTACAAGACAGACATCGAGGTGCTGAAGCACATCCACGGAAGTGCAATGAAGATGGTGAAGGGTCTAAAGAGCAAGTCCTATGAGGAGTGGATGAGGTAATTGAGTTGTTTAGCCTGGATAAAAAGAGGCTGAGGGGAGACTTTATCACTCTCTACAAATACCTGAAAAGAGGTTGTAGCAAAGTGGGTGTTGGTCGCTTCTCCCAAGTAGAAGATGATAAGATGAGAGGAAATGTCCTCAAGCTGCACCAGGGAAGATTTTGATTGAATATGAGGAAAAATTTCTTCACTGAAGGGGTTATCAAGCACTGTAACAGGCTGCCCAGGGAAGTAGTGTAGTCATCATCCAAGGAGGTATTTAAAAGATATGTAGGTGTGATGTTTAGGAATATGGTTTAGTGGTGGACTTGGTTGTGTTAGGTTAATGGTTGGACTTGATGATATTAAAGGTCTTTTCCAATCTAAATGATGTTATGATTTTATGCAAAACAGGTATTTAACACATTCCACACTTTCTTGTTTATCTCATGTTGTCTTAGGTTTGAGTGAGTGGTGGGGTTTTTGGGTATTGGGGAGAGGCTACAGCAGTGGCATCCCATGAGAAGCTTCTCGAAGCTCCCTTGGCTCCAAGTTGGCCCCATCTTTGCACCAAGGCTGAGCCAATCAGCTGTTCCTCTTTGAGAACAAATTTAAGAAGGGACCCAGGAGGAGGAGTTGGACTTGTGAGGAAGAGTTGCGTCATCTGTGTGAACATCGAAGTCAGTGGAAGAATAAGGAAGAAAGGAGAGGAAGGTATACCAGAGCACAGACTCTCCCTGTATCCTGTGGTGAGATGGCAGGGAGCCCCCACCCTGCCACCCATGAAGGTTTATGGTGGAGCAGACACTGATTTATGACAGGTGGGGGATCCCCACAAATTCAAGGTGGCTGCTCCCAAAGCCAGCCAGGATCCTGTGGGAAGAAGCAGCCCCCCACTGTTGTAGCTGAGCGCTAGGTAGTATCGGGGGTGTCCCACGCTGGAGCACCTCAGGAAGGGCTGTAGCCCCTGGGAGGGACTCCAGTTGGAGAAAGTTGGTGTCCCATGCCAGAGCAACGAGGGAAATGCTGCATCCTGTGGGAGGGACTCACATTGGAGAAAACTTGTGGAGGACTGTCTCCTGTGAGGGGGGGACCATGCTGGAGCAGGGGGAACAAGTTCCAGAAGTTCCCCCCACTATGGAAGAAGTGACAGTAGTGTCTGCATCCCCCATTGTCTACCACCTGCGCCACTCGGGGGAGGAGGTAGACATATTGGGAGCAAAGCTGATGGGTGGGTTGGGGGGAAGGGGTTTTCAAGATGTGGTAATGCTTCTCACTGTCCTATTCTGTCTGTTAAGTATTGTTGTTAGTGTCTGTAATAAAATTATGTTCTTTTTTTTTTTTTTTTTTTTTTTTTTTTTTTTTTTTTTTCCCTAAAATGTCTGTCTTTTGCCCATGACTGTAATGGGTGATTTATCCCTCCCTGTCCTATCTTGAATCCCAAATCTGGCTTATTTTCTCCTTCTCATCACTGTGGGGGGGAAGGTGAGAGTGAACTGCTGCATGGTGCTCAGTTGCCCTCTGAGCTCAAATCACAACACATGTAAAGGGTAGTCACCTATTTGTGCTGTCAGCAGTGCATTAGTCAGGTATGTGGTGCTTTACAATCTGCTACAATGAATTTCAGATATCACTAACAGCAATGAAAAAAAAAAAAACCAAAAAAAACCCAAAACAAAACAAAACAAAAACAACAACAACAACAAAAAACCAAACTGTATTTGAATCAAATCAAGATCAAAAACCAGGACATATTCCAACTTCAATGAAGAAAAGAACCTATATTTTCAGGAGTGTTAGTACATTTTTTTCTTCCTAGCCTTATTTCTGTTAGCAGAAGTGAAATACTGAGCTTGACAACACCAGATGTATCACAAATCTCATGGTAAACTCTCCTGTTTTAATTTTTATCTTGCCTCTAAATGGCAAAAGAATACTTCAATATTTCTGTCTTATAATTTAAAAAAGTCTAGAATACTGAATAACATTCCTTCCAATTGCCTTCTTGCCTCAGGATTTCTTCTCTCACTCTCTGTCCTTCACAAAAGCACCAAGTGGAGAACTGAACAAATAAAACCATTGAAGAGAGCAATAGAAGACTTGACACATAGAATTGTAAACTGTGAGACCACAGCCTTTCTCTCCTCCTCAAAACCAGTGTGTTCATTTTAAATTGACAACTTACCCCTCCCAGGATGAACATACAAAATATGTCATGCAATGTCTATCTTCCCTTAAAGCAGCTGTAGCCAAAGGAGCGTGGTTAAGAAAATAAAATAGCAGTGAAGAGCCTGTCTGCTTAGATGCTTACAGCTGCTCATCTGATGATAGGACTGTCTTTGCCTGCTTTGCTTATGGCAAACATTTCTTCTATTTTCAAACTTTGCTACTTGAAAAAAAAAAAAAAAAAAAAAGGAGCTAGCAAAAAGTTTCTCTCCCTTTTTCAGAGAAACCTGATGGCTCTGTGAAGACAGATAAGAATTCACCATGCTGATACACTATGTGCATAGCAATGTTTGCAGGCCAAGCACTGATCAGACATGGTTTCTCCAGACATTATATTCCAGGTACTATAAAGATTTTCTCACAAAAGCTTCTGAGACGTGCCAAATGTCTAAGCACTTTTCAAGATCCAACTTCAAGATTTCCTTCCAACAGAAAAAAAGGATGTCTCTTCGATATCTATATTTTATCTATTAATATATATCTCAAATCTTTACTTTTCCATATATCTCCATAAATACTCCTGTTATATCATGTAATGTCCCCTCACTGCCACTGGTAGCTTGTTAGATAACACCAAACATTAAGCTTCCTATGTCTTTACATAGACTCAAAATACTCATTCTCTCATAGTCCTTATACAAAATTCCTACAGAAAGAATATGCTTAAAAGGTACATTTGAAACAGGAATATTTACTCATGATAGTAAATTAAGGGAACTATAAAAAAGAAATCTTGAAATTCATTAAATTATCATTACATCACATGTAGTTAGCTCTGGACCTCAAATTCTATAGAGAAATTACTTCTTCACACAGATACTAATACCCACCAGAATAACAATCACAATTTCTACACTTGCTCTTACAAAATGCCTTCTGGAGCATTTCTCTCTCCCTCTAGTAAGTTGCTCTGTATCTTAACAAGAAATCAGCTCAAACATAATATTTTTGGCATGTATAGAGAAATATTTCCCTAATGAAATCTGAGACCGACCTTACTGATAAGGAGCATTCACCTTACTGTAGTTTATAGCAATATTCTATTCAGATCTTCATGGGAATGTTTTTAAGAATTTTTGTTAATTACTTAAATACAAACCACAACCTTAACTATCTGACTTGATTTACTATCAGCCAATCATTAATCCAGTTTGATAAAGCTTTTTCATTTCTCATATTTTTGTCCTGTGCAAAATATTTCATGCATCAAATCTTGCCATGCCACTTGTAGCTTCTATTTTAAAATATTATTATTGTGGTCCTGTGATGTTATTTATCCATAAACAAGCTGCTGACATTAGCTGTTAGAATAATTTAATTTACTGTAATAGTGTCCTTAATTTCTCTCTTTCTGGAAGTTCAGCTACTTTCCCATGAGTTGTGCAACAGCAGCTTAGAGCAAATTCAACCTGTCAGGGGTTTACCCTACCATTCTAGTCCCCTGAATTCACAATCTATCACACACATAGTGATTAATTTATCTGTACATTATTACAGTATGCTTGTTTATATTATTGGAAACAGGAAAAGAATAAATTGTTAAGGAAGAACTTTTGATGTAACTATGAAGCTTGAAAATTTAAATTCTTATACTTCACCCTTTCTATGTTTCCCTCTATACCTTTCTTCTGCTGTAGTTTTCCTTCATGAAAAAAAAAAAAAAAAAGATAGAAAAATTAAAGTTTTAGAAAGCACTTGGAGATTTGTAGAGGATAATGTGTGTGAGAGAAAATATATTACTAGACACTAAGTTACTTTTATAAAGAAGAAAGGGAAAAAATCAATGTAAAGAAGAAAAATGTTCACAATTAGTCCTGCCATTTTCATTATTTAGAGAGAAAACAATGGAGATGTAGAGCAATCACAGTTTGCTTCATGTAAACCTGATTCAAGATATGATTGAGTTAAACATAGTGTTTGGATTGAACCAAGCATCTTGAAAGAGAACATTATTGTAGCTCTCATCTACCAGAAATGGTGTTCATTGTCTGTGCTGATTTTTATAGGCTAGAAATCTTCATTCCTATGAGCTCTCGTGGAAGTATATAATAGTAGTCCTGACTCTTTATTTTGTGTGAAAAGAAACATTCCTTCTCAGGACTGATATACTGTTATATGAAAAATAAAATTTGTGAATTTGAATACTGAGGTGGACAAAATTAACATTTTTATCTAAGTATTAAAAAATGAGCATGCTTTTCACAGCTTTAAGATTAACTGTATAAGTTGTTTAGATATTAACAAAGTCTCAATATCATTGATCAGCTGCAACTTCAAATTAAACTACTCTGTTACCAGAGAATATTTACATGGCTATCATGTATCATGCAATGTTTACATATAGTGAGATATCTTGCTAGCATGAGATGAAAGAAGATTTATTGGTGGGATCTGTAGTTGATGGCATACACTAATTCGAACAGTGAAAGCTACTTTTTGGGACAAAATAAGGGCAGAGAGGGGAAGCAGGAAAGGGAAAAGTCTTCCCAGTTTCCATCTAGGTAAGCCAATCATAAGGCAAGCATAATTGTGTAGGTGCTCTCTCCAGTGCACAAGGTGGTGACAATGAAGATGACCATGATGTTTTCCTCCTTGATACTATATATTTTTTATGCAGGACATTCTAAAACTACCTACTGTTTTATAATAATATTATCAGTAATTGGAGCATGATAATCACATGCAAATGTTGCAAATGGAATGGCTGTTCAGCTTCTGTGCACATGCATTGTTGGTTAACTACTTAATACTTGGTAAAAATCGACATTGCTGTGCACAACATTTAGTTTTCTCAAATATAAACTATAAATTATGAAACAAAAGGTAAAATAAAGGGGGTGTGGGAGGATTAATGATGATTCTTAGACCACTAATAATTGTTTCCCATGAGAACCTGCCATAAGGGCACTTTTGGCATCTGCAGGTACAAGGCAACAGAAGCAGTGATATAAGAAAAATAGCATGATAAAGGAAAAAACTAATACTGCCACAGAGACTCAGAAAACACTTGTCTCAATAGCTTCAGGGAAAAGTTACAGAGCTGTAAACAGTGCATTTGGCATTTGCACTGTTTTCCTCACTTTCTGCTTGTATTCTTATTTTATCAGATCTGTCTGTCTCAAGGTAGCTGTTTTTACGCTTTTCCACACACACACACATACATCCCACCTCCTCTCTTTTCCCTGTCCCTAACTCCTAGGAATATGCTAGGACTGTCCTCCTCCAGTTCTCCTTTTGCATTACTTGCCCTTGTCCACTTGCTCTGTAGCAGAGCTGCTGCATGCAAAGCGTATAGGGCTTGCACATGCCTGAGAACAGCTATACAGCCTGAGTGAACAAGGTTCTGGGAAAGCTTCTGGGTTCTTTGTATCATTTGCTAGTGCTTACTTACTTTGATTTTACATCTGATTTCTTATTTAGCTCCAAATGTCAGTCAGAGGATCTACTGAGACTTTTGTTTGCTAGACTGAATAGATGATCTATCATCAGATTTTCCGTTCCCCAGACACTTCCAAATCCTGATCAGGTCAGTCATTCATTGATAAATGGAACAGACTGAACTTTTATATTAAGAGATTCTCCCAAGCCTTTAAATTATTCTTCTGTTTTTCCTGAACTCCTGATGAATGAATAACTGGGACATTTTTTAATTTGTCAAATACACATCTTGTTATGCTATGCTATATTGCAGAGGAACTTGAGAGTCTTCTTGCTTCTCACACTAGTTAGGAAGTCTTCTTGTGTCCAATGTGTTGATAAAATTGGTTAGACCTAATATGTAAAATGCCACCAAAACAAATATTTTACTTTCTGTTGACATATCTTAAGGACAGCATGGAAATCACAGCTGATAGCATGTTATCTGGATTTTCTAAAATATTTTTTGTACACTGATATACTGAGAGTTAAAAACCTAGCTGGATGGAATGATGGTGAAAGAGCAGCTACTCTCAGAGTGTAATGTGTCTTTGAACATTATCAGTGAACTACAAGGAAGATTACAAATAGAGAAGAGCAAGTAGACTGAGGTTTATAGTTGTTCAAGAGAAAGTAAATAAGCTACTAATTAAATACTACTGGTAAGTTTAAGTTGAATTATTAGTTATGACCTAGACATCACTGGAAGAGAAATTTTGCATTTTGTTGTGTGCAAGCTGAAGAATAGTTTTCTTGAATTTCCCTACCAGTTTCTTACACTTAAGATCTTGTTAAACACAAAAGCAATAAACTTTATATGCAAAACCAAGTCTTAGTTATTAGTCTAATTAAAGTCTTAACAGCCTAATCAAAGAATTAGCAGTCCATTTACAATGTTACTTAAACTTCAAATTATGTGTAGGTAAAATTGACAAACTTTCTAGTGTCTATACCTTTCTTCAGTGTTATTGTTCCAGTCTCCCCCCAGGTCCTCATGTATGATTTCAGTTCATGCTACATATAACAACTACAAGTTGTAACTATCCATTAGTTAAAAAATAGATAACATAGTAGGCAATATCTAACACAATTGTACAAAATGAAAAAAAAAAAAAAAAAGCTAAACCAGAGAAGATTACAGTTATTCTGTCATTAGATAATTGTACTTACACATCTCCAGGCAGCCCCAGACAAGTTTAGACAAAGCCTGACAAAACTAGAGGCCTGTGTTGTTAATGTAACACAAAGACTGTGGCCTCTTACCAGCAACAGGATGTTATTTACTAGGCCACAAATCTATAATACAGATATTTTAATAGACCATAACAGAAATTTTGTGTTCCAAAGAGTTTTATCTGCCAAATGCAGGTATAGTAATGAAATGCAAAATGACACTAGAATTAAACACTGAAGAAATAATGATAGTCAAAATCCACAACTACTTCAAAGTCTGTGTAAGCAGTTAAACATATTGGTGGTCAATATTTAATCTGAAAGCACCATAGATCATCCCAAGTTAAAAGAGTTTGTAGTGAATACCAGCCTTCTCACTGCAAATATCTTATTTGTACAGGATATTGTACAGGAAAATGACTACATTCTACAACAAAACAAGACAATCAAGGAAAGAGTATTTTTTATGAATTATTGGCTAGGATCCTGGAAAAGTACTCAAAAGAGCATTATGGAAGTACTCAGTCTGACAGCTGATATGAAAATTCCCTTCCATAACTATTATAGAAAACAGTCTTTATAGTTGGTTATATATATATATAAATGTAATGTGGTAGTGGAATTTTACTGGAGACTTTGGTATTGTTCATGTTTAAGTAACACAAATTAAAAGACAGCCCAGCCCTGGAAATAAGGACTTGTCTTTTTAGAAGCAAGAGGTGTCCATGAAGGATGAAGGATACTGCTGGAAAACCAAGGTAAGGGTAACATCCTAGCCCCTCTAATATGATCCAGTTGAATATGTCCCTGCTCACTGAAGATGGGGTTGGATTAGATGACCTCTAAAGGTCCCTACCAATCCAAATTATTCTATGATTTTATGTCTTTGAAATCCTCCCAGGGTTGTCTGGCATCACAGACTGACTCCAGGAACACCTGGATCAATAAACAAGCAACAAGAATGCTGTAAAAAGAGTTGCTTTGCAAAGTTTTACTATGATTAGTAATTATTAGTGTGGGTGTTATTGATTAGTCAAATCATGTTGTGCCTGAACATTTGAAGGTTATAAGAACACTGTGTAAAATCACATTCAGGTGCCCCAATTTGGATGGAACACCTCATGCACATGAATAAATATTTACTCTTGTAATTATATACTTTGCATCCTAACATCTCCTTGGTCAGCACTGGCCAGTTGTGAATTTTTGTGATACAGTTCTGTTCCTTTTGAAGTCCCAGATTCTTTATTGTAGAAGGCATCACACATACATTACTAAAAAAGTGCACTGCCAGTAGACAATGTATTTCCATGATGATAATAAATTATTGTGTATAATTTTCCTAGAAAAGGAGCACTGGGTACCTCCACAGACAGAAAGGTAATTCCTGCTTGCATTTTCTGTATATGGATACACTTGTAAAGTAAGAGTTAACTGCTACTATTGATACTGAGAGCATAATACAATGCATGAGCATGCACTGTTGAAAAGCATCTTCCCAAATATTTAGGCAGTTATTTAAAACTAATGAAAAAATTGCAAGGGTAAAAGCTTGGAAGAAGGTGAAAGCCTGATTGGTGTCAGAATACAAGAGAAGAAGCAGCTCTATGAATGAACTCCCCACTGCACATCTTTTAGTGCTCACATTTGCTTCAGTAAGGTCAGAACCATTTAAACTTCGCAAAGAGACTACACAAAAAACCCCCCAATGTTTAATTTTTAGTGTCTTTTTTTGTTTGATGTACTTCACTCGACAAGGAATTCATAGTTGGTTCTGAAGATATCTTAAGACACTGACATTTGAGATAGGAAGTTCACAGAGGAAAAAAAGTGTTCAAAGGTAGACTTGATGTGGTAAGCTGGCTGCTGAAATAAAAGCATTACAAATTAGTAGCTATGTCAAAACAGAATGATGAACCTTGTGGTTTATATCAGGACAGTAGTCATTAAGTTTGTTAGCACTGCATTTGTGCAACAAGGGGAAAAGTAATAGAGCTAGATTTACACTCAGTTTCAGAATTATAAATTATACTGTGTCATGCAGGATGACCTTTCAAAGGGACAGAATGAATACCAAACTGAAACTTCTGTGTCAATGCTTCCATCTCCATGAACACAGAGTAATCCTGGAAATGCCATGTTCATCTAGAGAAATGCAGGTTATTATGACAACAAAACAAACACCTTCTTTCCACAACCATTTTTCCCAAATTTTTGGGAAGGTGATGAAAGCCAATTTTAAATAGCTCAGAAGTCAGACACTTTTCCAACACCATTAAATCTATAGCTGCTTCAGAATACAGGCTTTACATGTTCATAAAGTCTTCCTTTTTTTTTTTTTTTTTTTTTTTTTTTTTTACTTTCTCTCCTAGATTGTAGAAACGGAGGTTATATATACAAAAGGAAGAAGAAACAATCATAGAATCATAGAATCAAAGAATGGTTTGCATTGGACAAGACTTTTAAAGATCAGCTAGTCCAAAGCCCCTGCCATGGGCAAGAGTACCTTCCACCAGGTCAGGTTGCTCAAAGATCCGTTCAACTTTAGTTTGAACACTTTCAGGATGGAACACACAGTTTCCTTGAGTGACCTGTTCCAATATATCACTGCCTTCATTGTAAAAAAATGTCAATATCTAAGGTAATGTAAAATGTCATATCTAAGGTAAATCTCCCCTCTCTCAGTTTAGAACAGTTACCCCTTGTTCTGTCACTACAGACTATGATAAAAAGTCTTTCTCTGTATTTTTTATAAGCCTCCTTTACATATTGAAAGGCTACAATAAAGTATCCCTGGAACCTTCTCTTCTCCAGACTGAACAACCCCAACTCTCTCAGCCTTTCTCCATTGGAGAGGTGTTCCAGACCTCTTACCATTTCCATGGTTCTCCAATAGACTGGCTGTGACTGATTCATAGGGACCCCAGAGCTGGGTAGAGTACTTCAGATGGAGTGTCACAAGAGCAGATTAGGGGGGGAGGATCACCTTCCTCAACTTGCTGGCTATGAGTCTTTTCATGCAGCCGAGGATAGAAAGGACCATCAGATTAGTCAGGCACAATTTGCCCTTTGTGAAGCAATGTTGGTTGTCTCTAATCACCTCCATGTCTTCCATATGCCTTGATACAACTTCCAGGAGGATCTGTTCCAGGACCTGACTGGGCACAGAGGTGAGGCTAACTGGTCATTAGTTCCAAGATCCTCCTTACTACCCTTGTTATAAATGGATGTGATATTTCCCTTTTCTCCAGTCACTGGGGACTTCATATGACTGCCATGGGTTTTCAAATATGGTGGAGAGAGTGGCTTAGCAACTACATCTTCCAGTTTCCTCAGGACACTGGGATGTATCTTGGTGGGTCCCATGGACGTGTGTATGTTCAGGTTCCTCAGGTGGTCTTGAACCTGATCTCCTTTGATAGGGGACCCCATCCCCTTACACCCTGCCTTTAGGTTCAGGGACTTGAGAGATGTGGGAAGATACATTGCCAGTGAAAACTGAGGCAAAAAATTATTGAATACCTCAGCCTTCTCTTTGCCTCACTTATCAGAGGGATGCATGGTGGGTGTTGAGGTACATTTGCTTTTGCCTTCTTTTTCTGACCAGTGTACCTGTAGATGTCCTTTTTATTAGTCTTCACATTCCTTGCCAAATTCACCTCCAACTGTGCCTTAGATTTCCTGATCCCATTCCTACCCATCCAGGCAGTGTCCCTGTTTTTGCCCCAGGATACATAACCCTGCTTCCACTGCTTGTGCATTTCCTTCTTACAATTTAATTTGGCCTTAGTCAACTATGCTGATCTTCTGCCTTCCTTGCCTTATTTTTTACATGAGCAAATCAAGAGCTCTGGTGCTCTAAGAAAGATGAAACATTTCACAGATATTCCCCTGTTGGTTCCTCTGTCTCTGCTGTTTCCCAAAATTCCATCCACTTCCGCCTCTAAATCCAGCTTGAAACCCCCCTCATAAGTCTGCACAGATTGTTGGCAAAGACCTTCTTGTAACATTTTGTCAGGTGAATCCTACCAGCTCCCAAAAGGCGTAATTTCAGATACATTAACAAGTGAAGTTTTAAATTATGAAATCTAGTGTTGGTGTTTGAACCTGGTCAGCAGCTAAATGCCAGGCAGTCACTCACCCACCCTCCCTCCGAGTTGGGAATGGGGAGGGAATCAGAGGGGCAAAGGGAGACTCGCGGGTTGAGATAAAAACAGTTAATAACAGTAACAGAATAACATGCTGACAGCAATATCAGCAGGTAATGTACAATACAGCTGCTCACCACCCACCGACCGACCGACACCCGCCTGCTCCCAGCCAGTGATCCCAAACACAAAAGCCCCACGGCCACACTCCCCAAAGTGAGAGCCCCTCCTGGCCCACTCCTGCTTTTATATAGTGAGCACAATGTCACATGACATGGAATATCGGCCAATCCGGGCCCAGCACTCCAGCTGTGCTCCCCCCGCCCCCGCACACAGGCAAGGGCTCTCTGGAAGCTCAGTGTGCTGCAGCACTCCTCCAGATACCAAAACGAACATGAACTCTATTCCAGCCCAAACCAGGACTTCTAGACATAAAGAAAAATTGTCTTTAATTTCACATACAGAGAAAAGATTTTTTTGTTTTGTTTTGTTTTTTTATTTATTTCTAAAATTTGTACAGCAGGAGACTAGAATACTCTGATGACTGGAGTAAGTTTCATCACAGCTGATAGTTAGGTCCCAGTTCAGCAAGTTACTTAGTTATGTGGTAAACCCTGAACACTGCAGGAACTCATCACAATTTATGACAAACAAGAACCTGCCCTGAACTTAAATTAAAAAAAAAAAAAAAATTAAACAGTTCCTGAACTAACTTCCTGTTCTGCATGCAATCACTTCACTGAATTGGGAGGTGTTGACTGGCCATATTTTGCTTAGTAAACCCCATTCTTTCATAGGATATAAAATGTTATTTATTAAAAATGCCATCAAATATTACATAAGGGGACAAAGTGACAGGAGAAATTGTGCATGTTTGATTCCATCTATCAGATAAGAAAATTCAACCAAACAGTAAATGTCTCAAAAGATGGAAAAGAATAAAACAGCATAAACAGCTACATATAATTAGATCTGTATTGCTCAGAGAGCAACTACAGCAAATGTCCATTGAGGAAAAGCAATCTTCTTGGTACTCATAGTCTGATTTTGTTTAATATCTCACTTTTTCTTTCACAAGGGCCAAGGTTTGAAGGCACCAGAGGCAGAATTAGATACTGTCGTTCATGCCAAGATATAATAAAATACAAAATATTTTTTCTTTTTACTTGTAAAAGTACATCAACTCTCAGCATTTTTTCTAACCATACCAAAAAATCAGGATATGCAAAATGAACAGGACAATCAAACTGAGAACAGATGCTATATTGTGATACCTCCTCAGTCTTGTTTTGCAGGTGATGTCATCAGAGTCCAATACTTTCTGAATATGAGTGCATTGAGTTTAATATCAGATTTTCTTATCTGAAGACAGTTCAGCTTAGATGTGATTTCAAATTCAGAAGAGTGATATAAAATATACTGAAAACACAATACAAATATGACACTTAGAGAATTACAGCAATTGCAATACATACTTCAATTACAGTACCAGTGTAGATTACCACTACCACTCTCTATAATAGGCTCGCTGTCATGACACTGGGCATCCCAAATCTCTGGGAAGGAATACATGGGTTGAAGCCAGCTCAAACACATTTCTCTCTTGGAAACTCTTGCTAGTTATTTAGTTTTTTGTACTCTAGGTTGGGCTGAGTCACACGTTCACTCTTCTCCATGCTGGTCTAGCTAACTCAAGGAGACATTTACACCACCAGGTGATCCACTCAGTTGTTGATATCTGTTTATTTAAAACAAAGGCCACTCTCTGATCCCCTTTGCAGTGAGATAAAGTCAGTTTGTTTGCGACAGCTGTGGTCATTCACACCCTGTGTTATATTCTGAGCTTCATAAACACATTGTCCTTGTCCAAATCCATTGATCTTTCTTCCACTGTAGGGGTTTATTCAGCGAGTCACATTTCACCCTAGGCTTCAGTCAGTCATAGATGCTGATGACTGACTGAACAGCAGTATTAAAAAGACTTGGTTTGGTTTTAAATTATGTATAATATTCTATCAGTATTAGTTGCCTTTGAATCAATATCCAGTAGAAAAATTAGTTAGACAACATCTGAAAACTACTCACAATTTATAAATTTTACCCCTCTTTGCATTCAGTGAAAGCCTATATTTCTCATTGATATACCATATCCTTTCTTTTTTAAATAACGTCTCTAGAAAACAGGTTACTGGCATTTTGTATTAAAAAACAGTTAACTTGTTCTGAAATGGATAAAGTTTAACTTTGTTTTCAGAGAAGACAAATTCAAGTGGATAATAGACATTCATCCATGAATGTCTTTCAGAAGTCTTCTGACCCAGACTCCACCACTTTAATTCTCATTAACTTGCCCAAACTCACTGCCAAATGAATTCTGTTTACAGAACAGAAATGCAAGAGAGATTTCTGCAGGGTTGAAGGTGTCTGAGAATTTTTCTATTGAAAATAAATTGTTTTAGCTTTGTTAAGCTCCCCCTCTGCACGAAAACTGAGTGAATCAGCTGCGCCTCTGAGATAAGGTATTTAAGAAGGGACGTGGTGACAAGCAGTGGGATTTGTGAGGAGAAGTTGCCACATCTGCGTGTACACCAAGGTCAGTGGAGGAACATCCAGAGGAAGAAAGGAAGGGGGAGGTGTGCAGGAGCAGAGACCTCCCTGTATCCTGTGGTGAGATGGCAGGGTGGTTCACCCCCTGCCACCCATGAAGTTCTACGGTGGAGCAGACACTGATTTATGGCCTGTGTTTTTCGCCTAGATGATCAAGGTGCTGTGCCCAAAGAAGGTCGGGGTCTTGTGGGAAAAGGTAGCCCCACTGCTGTAATTCAGTGTTGGGAGGATTGCAGCATGTGGGGGTGTCCCATGCCAGAGCAGCTTGGGAAGGGCTGCAGCCCGTGGGAGGGACTCCAGTTGGAGAAAGTTGGTGTCCCACACTGAAGCAGTGTAAGGAAACACTGCAGCCTGTGGAAGGGACTCATGTTGGAGAAAGTTTGTGGAGGACTGTCTCCTGTGAGAGAGGGACCACACTGGATGGTGGGGGGAGAAGCTCCCCCCACCGATGATGGAAGACGCGACAGCACTGACTGCACCTCCCCATTCCCTGGCCCTGCCCCGCTGGGGTAGGAGGTAGAGATATTGGGAGCAGAGCTGAGCCTGGGAAGAAGGGAGGGGTGGGGGGAAGGTGTTCTTAAGATGAGGCAATGCTTCTTACTGTCTGTGGAGTGGCTGGAAGAAAATAGGCATATTATGAGCGATCCAGACCGAGGGGCCTCAGAACTACAGCTGTCGTGAAGGACATATGCAAGGTCGAAACAGATAAGGAAGTTGGGGTTTTGAGAAACTGCCTAGCTGCAAACAGGTAAGGAGGTTGGAATGTAAAAAACAAGATAAGAATGTGTAGAAACAGAATGTAGGTACGGCAGAGCAAGGCATGTGAACAAGCAGCTTTAACCTATTAGCAACCAAAATGTAACGCATGCGCTTTGTGCTAGTGTGTAAATTGCTGTGTATCCTTTAATAAAGTGGCATTAACTTGATCACATTGATCATGTATGTTGTGTCCGTGACTTCCGCGTCAACTGTCCTACTCTGTTAAGTGTTGTTAGTGTCTGTAATAAATGTATGTTCTTTTTCTTCTTCCCCTAATGAGTCTGCCTTTTGCTAGTGACCATAAAGGGTGATTTTTCCCAATCCCAGTCCTATCTTGAACCCCAAGCCTGGCTCTCTGTCCCTTCTTATTGCTGGAGGAGAAGGGAGAGAGAGTGGCTGCGTGGTGTTAGTCTGCCAACCAGGCTCAAACCACGACTCTCAGACAAATAAAGCCAATTTGTCCCATATTCATCCCTTTCTGACTGACCTGGGAATAACTAATTGACTAACTTTTTGAACACTAATTCACTCAATGATTTACTGCAGTTACTTCTTTTGGATACCATGGACTTGCTTATCTCAAAGATAGTCCGGAATACATCACTGTAGGATAAGTTTTAGTATCCTGACCCATTATGAATGACATCCTCCAGAAGGAGAGTAACAGTATGTCCAGAGAACTGTTCTTGGAGTTTAAAGGTACTGAGTTAACACTTCCAATATTTATTTAAACACTTAGAAAATTTTTAAAAGTGCAGAGTATTGATCATAACAAAAAAATTCTGCTCTGCTCTTTCAATAGCTAGAAAATGACAGCTAGAATGATTAGGAGAACCTCAAATCTTTCAAGATAAAATGCTGATGTACAGAATCATTATTTAAACATTTAATGAACTTTTCTTTCCCTTTCCCTTCCATGTTTATTACCTAACATTTGATAATATAATAATTCCAATCAAGAAACTATATATTCCCTCTATGAATGAATACCACTGTTCATGAACTGTGAGAATTCAGGGAATATTCTTTGTAAAAAAATAAATGCTTCAACTCTTCTGCAGACCTTCAGTAAGGTAAGCCTTTTATGGTTTAATATCTCTACTTTTGTTTTCTTTTGGTTGCAACAGAAGGTCATTAAATTTTGCTAACTGACTCTACAGCCCTGTGTCATGTTAGAATCAACCCTGAGGGAAAATCAAAACAAATAACTACTAAGAAGCACCAGGATGGAGGAGGTGCTCAGAAGCCTAGACTCTGACCCTTTATGGAAAACGGCAATCTAGTCACATTCAGGCAAATCATGATAACACTGGCAACTCAAAGGGCAAGCAAGCTTGTCTAGCTGCTCTCTTCTCCTCATGGAATAGAAAAGGAGTGTTAATTTTGTTCACCTCATCCACGTGCCATTCATCCATGCTCTTTCCACTGTTAAACAGATCACCACATAGAAATATACAAAAAGATACTCCTCTGGTTATGGTGGCAACTTTCTTCTCTTTCTTTTTCTTTAATAGCCAGATAACTATCAGAATAACCGTCCATCTCAGACTTAAGAAATAGTTACAAATACTATTGAGACCTGTCACGGATCTAAAAATAGGTAACAAGAGAATAGATACATAACCCTAAAAATATGGACAAAATAGAGCACATGATACAAACATGAAAAAAAAATATTTTAAGGCAAATGATGAAGATCATTGTGATGAACTTGGAGGCTGAGATATATGGAAGGGAACACTGTAGATTGTAGCCATGAATATAATAGAGCGCAAATAATATTCTGACTGGCAAATACTAACATCAACCACAGGATAAATTACTCAGTGTAAGCCAGAAGAAGAAGACCCCATATGGCTTTCAAGCTTACCTTTCCTAGAAGCAGCCCCTGTATATGATAGTTCATAATAAAATGTTTTAGAACCTGTCCTGCGTTAAGCCATGCACTTTCTTCAGGGATACTGATAATGTCAAGCTCTCCTCAAGGATGAATGCTTTCAGATAAAAAATGAATTGGTAATTTCCATTTCCCCTATGAAGTCTGCATGAAAATGCCATGATCATCATAACTAGAATTCCAGCTTTTAGAGTGAAAAGGCATGCCTACTACAGCATTTACAACGTACTCTAGAATACTTCATTCATACTAGGAGATATTATTAGATTTGCTTTTTCACTAAGTCTTGTGAAAAGATTATATGTTAAACACTTTGTCTTTTGAAACATGCATTAAAGAGCATATGAACTGTATGTCCAGAAGCTTGCTTTCTGTTTATCCACTTTGATACCTCTTAATAGAAAAAAGATTAAGCTAAAAGATGCTGAAAAAAAAAAAAAAAACAAACAAAAAACAAACAGAAGAGGAGGTATAGAAGTCAGGAGTGAAGTTGAGCCCGGGAAGAAGGGAGGGGTGGGGGGAAGATGTTTTTAAAATTTATTGTTATTTCTCGTTATCCTACTCTGATTTTGATTGGTAATAAGTTAAAATAATTTCCCCAAGTCAAATCTCTTTTGCCCATGATGGTAATTGCTGAGTGATCTCCCTGTCCTTATCTTGACTCATGAGCCTTTCATTACATTTTCTCTCCCCTGCCCAGTTGAGGACCCTCCTGTGAGTGATAGAGCAGCTTTGGTGGGCACCTGGTGGCCAGCCAATGTCAACCCACCACATTTCTTTGTGGCTTACAATATGGGGCTCAAAGGGTTCAAGATAATGGCAGATTTGACTGGAGTGTGCTAGATCAAATTTATAGCTGATAGAGCTGTATGACTATTAATTCACAGGCTCCTGTGCTTGCCATGAGGCTTGCTCACCTCACTGTCTTATTAGAGTCTAGTGTTCAGTGGTGACTGCTTCTTGCTTTTACCATTTTCTGTACTGCTGTACTGTATATCATCCTACTGTGCTGTGCCTGAAAACATTCTGATCACAGCAATGGCTATGAACTTGGGCTGGCAGATGGTCAGGGTATTCCTGCTCTTTCTGTGCTGCTGTATCAGACATGATGGAACTCCGGTGTGAACATGAGTTGAAGGGACCTGTGAGACAAGTCTATGTGGGAGCAGGACACCACAAAATGTCTGTGGTTGTGGATAAGTTTACAGCAGGGTACACCTTGAAGTGTCTGTGTCTTTGGCCATATCTGTGATGAAGCAGATACACATCTGAAGGGATTGTGGCCCAAGGATATGTTCATGCTGGAGAAGGTATGCCTCAGAAGCATCTGTGGCTGTGGAAAAATCCATGGAACAACGGGAACACCCCTGACAAGACTGTGAGATTGTGGCTCGTAAATAAGGCCACACTGGAGCAGGTACACTCCTAAAGGACTGTGGCTCATGGATAAATCCATGCTGGAGCAGGAACAAGGGGAGAAACACCAGTGATGATGTAGGAATTCTTCCTAGTTTGTCCACAGACAAATGAGGGAGCAGTGTTTGCTTTCCCCACCAGGACTCATGCCAGTTAGTATAAGAACTCCGAGGACCCTGTGTACTTGTGCTGGGAGAAATTTAAGTGTCCAGGGAGTTTTTTCTGACAGAAATGGGGGATAGGTAGTGTTTGGATAGCATCTTTGAGCAACAAGTCTTTGAAAAGATTCCTCCAACTCCTTTCTTTGATCTGGTTCCTACATGCTTTCTTCTATTTTGACCTTTTTCTCATGAGTTAAACCAATGATCCAAAAGATCTCAGATTCTGATCAGGCGTGTCTGATCAGATATGTCTACTATCATAAATTGCGACAAGATGTACTTCTTGGTCTCTTAAAGAGATTTTTGTTTTAGAATAATCAAAATATTGAGGCTTGTTAATTTCATAGCTATCTGATGGATAATGTTGAGTCCTGATTGCAAAGACATACTGAGACATTTTTTCCTTCCTCTCCCCACTCAGTTACCATTCACTCTAGTCATTCAGTATCCTGCAGCCAATATTTGAGTATGATATTCATGTTTACTCAATAACACAGGGATGGTATATGAATTCCAAAGATACAAGTAGGATTGAATTAGTGTCTGAATGGAATCTGTTCATCAGCAGACTACAAAAAATTACTTAATAGCTGTTATTTATGACAGATAAAAAAATGTGAAGAAAAAAAATGATAAATAACTTGCAATATGCTGAATGATGTGTTATAAGTACAGATAGCTCAAATATCTACAAATGTGAGAGTAGGATATTTCCCCCCCCTCCCCCCTTTGTCAGATTTTTTTTTTTTTTAAATTTGTGTATGCTTCATCCATTTGTAGATTGGGTTACTACTTTGTCCACC